GTTAGACAGCACGTTAGACAAAAAAATAAATGCCAGCCGATTGCAGTCGATCGGAGCAATCACTGGGGAGACTTCGATTACGTTTCGCAAGAGGCATCGAAGGTCGACGCGAGTAAAAATTTTACGAGGGAAAAGTTGCATCGGCGAGCTGACGTCACACATGGTGGTATAATTAAAACAAACAAAGAATACGCTCGATGAGGAGCATAGAATCGGCCGATGGTGGGACCTCGTCGACCTTGCAACTCGCTGTTGCAGTCATTCGCGGAATCGGCGCTCGAAACAACGTTGATGTTTTCCACGCCAAAGGAATTAATCGACGCTTGTGATGATGATCATATTAAACAATACGAGCGATCTTTTGATTAGTCTTTAAGATTATACGATTAGAGAAAAAAAAATGGGAAGAGACAGCGAAATTATGGAAATCAAGGCGGTGGAAAAATGAATAAAGGGAATTGAAAAATGAATAGTTGAGAACTTCAAAAATTTTCAAATACGAATTTTAAGAGATTCAAAAGTCAATGATTCAGGGTATCTAAAGGTTTCAATATTTAAAGATTTCAAGACGCAAAGATCGAGAGCCTGCGACATTCGGTAGCTTAAAGATCGAGAAATGCCAACATTCGACGCCTCACTTTTACTGAAAGAAAAGAAACAATTCCCTAAAAGAAAAGGAAAAGAAAAAAATTCTAAATACTTCACTTTCTCGAAGGACGACTCGACGATCTTTAACCCCTTGCGCTGGTAATTGGTTCACGGACCATAACGAGTGACCAAATCGTGTACAATAATTCGTCGCTATCTTTTTGAACTCGTCGGTATGACATCACTGGATAAAAATTACTAAGAAGTAATAAATATATTATTTTGCCTGTAAAACTGAGAAAATATTGCAATTTTGGGGCAAAAGGTTAACCACTTGCGCCGGCAATTGATTGCGGACCATAACGAGTGACCGAACCGTACACAATAATTCGTCGCTATCTTTTTGAACTCGTCGTTATGATATTTATTATTGAGAAGTAATAAATTTATTATTTGTTTCGTCTATTTTTGTTTTATATAAATATACTTAGAACTGAGGGAAATATTGCAATCCAGGGACAAAATTTTTCGACGTCGCGTGGCACGTCATTCCAGCTATATAATTTCTTCGAACACCACTTGTCTCGAAGGCGTTTCGAGCGCCGCGCCAGCTCACGCCCGAAAAGCACAGCGTCAGATGATCGATCTTCCAGATGGTCGATCTTCGGTGCTGCTGCTGTTCTTTGAATACGAAAGGCGACGTCTCTGCGACGGAAAGCTCGGCCTCTGCGTGGCTTTGGCTGTTCAAGGGCGAGCAGGAAAAGCCAGCGGGATGCCTCTTCCGTCGAGAGTGGGTGACCGATGCCCGAACAGGGAAGAGAAGGAAGATTGTTCCTGGATATTTATAACAGGCCGCGAGCGAGCAACGCCACGATAAATCAAAATGCAAGAGCCTGGCTCTGGGGATGAACCGGACCCTCGTGGGGTCAGATCAGCTTTCGTTACGACGTAAAAGGAGAGAAGGAGGAGAGGTAGTCGTGAAGGTAGAATAAAAAAGAAAGAAAGGCGGGAAGGAGGGGGGGAGAAAAAAGAGAAAGAGAGGATTGAAAATGAAGAGAAGCTTGGACCACGGGAGAAGGACGCTCAGGGCCGTGATGAATGCAGGCCGAAAGGAGGCTGGCCTCATCTACATTCCTGAATGTACGATGAACGATGCGCCGCGTCGGTCTCGCGGCTGCTCTTGATAATCAGCGTGCCTTATCGTCTGCGACTTCTTCGAGGGACTCGCTTATTGTTACTCGCACAACCATACGTTTCGCAATCGCGATTCGCACGTCGGTGAATGCCAGATGAGAAGCACGAATGAAGCTCGTACATGACTCGACTAGCAGGGCGTTCGGCTATTGTTATTAACCAAGCTTTGTCATTACTGTTAACTGGCGGCGGCGAAATCCCGCGTGATTCGTGACGATTGAATAATGGAAGGAACGATTCCGCGATGCATGGGCGCAGGTGTTAATTTTTCCTTTTAAATTTTTTGAACGACAGAGCGGTGAGATTGCATTATTGTGCGCGTAGAATATTCAGAGAAATGTTCCTGAGAGTCCCTCTCGAGAATGAGTGTTTGCAATTAAATTTCTAGCATGCTTGCTGTTAACAGGTTAATAGGAATTTCTATTTACAGAAATTATCAAAATGTTGATATTTTCCAAATTGTATTGCTCCTTTCGACAGAAAGAAAAAGAACAAACCTACTGGAAGATTTCACAGATTATTTTAATACTATTACATATGTACAAGCACCAAAAATAAAGAGTTTTAAAACTATTGAACAATAATAAATGTATCGAAACAACGGACGAAAGTGAATTGAACAGACAAACCAAAAATTCTCTCGAAAAAATGGAAAAAGATCAGCAGTTTTCCCTTAATCACGATGACGCGAAACCAGACGACCGTCTACGTCTCTCCCTGAACTTGGTTCCTTCAACCGCAAGGCACGCTAATCATCGTCAAACCGCAGATCCAACTACAATACCGACAATATGAAATGCCTGCTCCATCGAGGCGTATCCATCACGTTATCGTGACAGCTATTCAACAAGCTTCGCAGGGCGCGAAGAATCGACGATTTCGCGTCCGCTAACGGGGAACGATCGGTTCAATTCGTCGACTATCGACCGGTCAATATTGGCGGTCGTTGCCGTGATCACCGGCAGTTTCAGCGCTCCGCAGCGAGATCAGCATGCAAGGATCGACGAAGCTTTTCTCAATCTCGGCCGCATTACTTCGAATGACTGGCAACCTGCCAGAACCTGCGCGCAGCCGAGAGAACGTTTGTATAATGACGGGTTTCGGGACGTGGCACGAACCAACGGCACCCCACCCAACAAAGACTTGGAGCTGCGTGTTGCACGGCGAAAATTGGCGGCCGCCGCGAGATTCGAGTAATGACCGGTATCGCCGATTGCGCTGCCCCCCTTACTGCTGAATTGAAATGGCACGGTAATGCTCGCTACGCGTACGCGCAACCGATGTTTTCGAAGCGATCGCGAGAGATCTTCGTGCCACGGAGCACGAATGATTCGATCCGGGGATATTTATACAAGTTTTTATCTTCTCGAAAGTCTTATGGCTACGGATTGAACGTTGAGAGAGGTTCGTTGTGTTCGTTTCAGCTACGAGGTCGCAGCTGAGATTTCAATTGTGACGTTAAATGGGAAATCTTGGAAATCTTCGACTAATTTGTAATTTTTAGTCGCGTGGAGCTTTGTACGATCGCAATGAAAAGACGTAGGGTTGTTTTTTTAACACAAGTAGCCTGCCGTCCCAATATTTTGAAACATCGAAAATTATAATAATTAAATAAATGAATATACAAATAGATGATAAAATAAATAGCAAACGCTCGTACGTGCATACAGCCAGTCTCAAAATCTGCGAAATATGCATCTGTCAAATTTCAAACATTCGAAACAGAGAAAAATGAGAGATCATAGACTTTCCATAACAAACGATTGTACAAAATGAGAAACATTATGCCTGTTAACGATTCGACGCAAGAATCTAAATGTACCTGTTGAGTACAAACGTCAACCAACACCGAGCGCGAAGCAACGTGTATCGCATGTATGCGCGAACGCATCAGGTATTTTATGAGGTGCAGAAGAACAAGGCTCGATACGAAGGGGGGCTGCACTCCTGCGTTTCGGCTCCTCGAGATACCTCGATTGTAAACGAGACTCCGGCACGGGTTTCCTCTTTCTTCATGGCCTGTTAGCTCCGTACCATTCTACCTCTCACCAGTCTGTCCTCTCTCGATCCTCCCTCCGGCCCTCCCCGCTCCTCTGGCCCACGTTTCTCCAGGCCCATTTTACCCTCGAGGGGCCGCGGCCTCGATCCTCGAGCCTCCATTGTCCCACGTTGCGTTTCAAGATGCCGCCGCTGGCTTTAATGAGAATTTTAATTACCCAATCCTGCCGGGTCTCTTTCTCTTTCTTTCTCATTCCCTTTCTTGTGTAAAACACTCGTGGACAGCTTGGCCGATTACTCTTGCGCAAGCAACATTGAAAACTCATGCCGTGTCACTCTCTGTTACCCCTGTAACCATCCGAGGGAGCGCGAGTACACGGGATAAATTGCACGAGTGAATCAATGCATCGTGCGAATGTGCGTGGTTGTATCCTTCGTGTATGAACGACGTACGATGTAAGTGGAATTGACTGGCGAGCGGAGGTGATCGATCGAGGATAGAAAGTACCGATATTACCTCGCTCTTTTTCATCGGGACGACGGGACTTTCGATCCCGACGCGATCTCGTAACGGTTCATGCAAAGAAGTTGGCGCTTTTTGGCAGTCGATTAATTGAGATTAAAATTGGTCGCATCGCTTCGTGGGTGTTCGAATGTTCTTTGCATATCGAGAGAGTTTCTTTTACGGAGGAGTGTTTTAAGTTTATTACGATCTTCAAATTTTTTTATGTATGCAACAGCTGTGTATGTAAAATGTACGATGTTGAACAAACGCGAAGAAATAATATTTTAAAATGATATAAAATAAAATAAAAATAATGTAAAAAATATTTGAATGAGCGCGAGTTTAATACCCTTTGAGATCATTGTACGTCAATCTTCATTTATTTCAATAAGAATCTTTCAAGTTTGTCTAATAAAAATGAGATATCTAATTTCATTCGTTCAATTATATTGAATTTCAAGACGAAAGCTCTACCTTATAATTTTCGCCACGATATCACGGAATTAAATTGATAAATCATATGCATGTAATAATTCGTTCACATTTTAGTCACTCGATCTCAAATGAGCACAGGCTCATTTTAAATTATAGACAATTTCTTATATTAACACAGCTTTCTATAATAACAAAATAATGGTATAAAATACAATAAAACGCGAAAGCTAGTAAATGTACAAAAATACTTGTATCAAATGCAATCGCCTTTTCACCCCGTTCAAAATAAATCAAAATCCTCCTCCGACACAAGTCCAGTGAATAATTTCCAAATCACGTTTAGCGATGAAAAACATCTCCAAATTTCAAATAGTCTTGTCACCGTGAAAATTCTGTTTGAAACGTTGCAACCATGACGAGTACAATATATTTTTCTCGGGTCTCTCCTCGTCGGTTAACACGTACTCTCCGACTTTCTTGCCATTTTTATCCTCTGTTTCGATACTTTGACCCAATCTTTCCTTCAAATAGGTAATCGGCGGTTCTGAAATTGCAGCAGGACTGCTCGAACCTCTGCCGCCTCCACCTTTGTTCGATGGCTTCGCAGAGTCGTCGCCCTGATCGGTCAACTCTGTACTCACTTTCTCCTTGTCGATGCCAGTTAACCTCACCAAATTGTCCCGGTTGGTCGAAGGTCGAAGTTGAATCGTTCCCTCGAACGGCGAAACGCCAGTTTCATTCGTATTCTTCCTTCGTTGTCTCTCCCTCGAACCAGTAGGTAATTCCTTCGACGGCGTATTATCGCTTTTCACCGCGTCGTCGCCCGATTTCTGTGAACCAGGGAAGTTAATGGTCCCCATCAGTGGAGGAGCTGTTTTATCCAAGATGTTGTTCGAGGGACCAACGATCGTTGTTTCTAATGGCGCTTTCTTCTGCTCCGCCGACTTCAAAGTATTCTTTGGCTCCTTCTTCTCGGAAGCTTTCGTTTCGTCTGGCGTAACGGAGCTTCCAGGAAGCGTGTTCTTCGATTTATCCAAGAGTGACGATTTAACGTTTGTGTCGCTGCTTTTCAGAAGCTCGTCGTTGGATCGTGTCCCTTTCGCCGAAGATTCTTCCGTTGAAATCAGTCGTTTCTCCAGTCGATCTCCGTTATATGCACTTTCGATTTTAAGTTTTTCTTCCTTTTTCTTCTCGTTCATCGCCCTCTCACCTATCGATCCGATTCTTGGTTTATTCGTTTCGTATTTTGTCTCAACGTCGAATTTCGCTAGTTTGTTCACTGAACGTATCTTCTCTGGCTCCACGACCTTCGACTGTTCCACCACGTTTTTCAATTCCGTCAGAGTCTTCTTCTTCGTCGACGACACCTTTTCCGGTTCCACGATCTTCTCTCGATTTTCCTTCTTCGTCGCGGTGTTCTCGATAGAGGCTTTCGTCTGGATTCTTGGAATCTCTGTCACCTTCTTCGATGGTTTCCTCGACGGCACGATCACACCGTAGTCGATCAACGTACCATCCTCTCTCTTCTCGATCGGTTTCATCGACTTTAGAATCTCCTTAATTCGCGGGTGCGACTCGTCGATCGACTTAACCAGCAGATTCTTTTCAACTGTCCCGTCTGTGCCGCTCCGCTTCTTCTCACCTCTCGCTGAAACATCAGCAGATTCGTTAGCACTTAACTTTCCCTCCTTTTTGCATATCGCGTTTGAACTCTGTACATTTGCCTTGCCGATCTGCGAGCCAGGGCCTCGCACCGCGACGGGCTTCTTCTCGATCTTCGACACCGACTTCAACTTCCCATCGTAACGAATTCTGGAAATCGTCGGCACGTCAGACTCCTTTTCCGTGGCTTCTCTGTCGTGAAGGTTACTCCTGGCGCGGTATCTCGGTCTCTTTGTCACTCCGCTCGAGTGTTTCGTTGGTGTCGTTTCGCTAGCATGTTTAAGGGGCACCCATTGCGGCGAGCTTTCCGCTCGAACGTAATTAACTATCGGATCAGGATCATCGCGCTTCGTCTCTTCGACTACTGGTCTCTTTGGCACTACGTCCTCCCGTCGAGTGTCGACTTTCGTCGGACCGACCTCTTTTGGAGAGCCAGCGATCGAGACGTCGGTAGTCAATTTCTCCTCGTCACTGTCCTTCACGCTTGGGCTGGCCTGCACTGGAACGAACGGAACGGCGTTGTTCGATTCCAACGTACTTTTCGTAGGCGTGTTGCCCTTTTTTCTGATCTTCTTGAACGAGTCCTCGGACGACCACCACGGGATCGCGTTCGACGGTATTCGATTCTTCTCCTCGTTGTTCATCGCTGGCTGCTGAGACTGGCGATCCGGCGCGTTCGCGTCGGAATTCGACGGCCTGTTCTCGCTGTTCTGAAAGACAGCCACGTTAGTGCTCGAGATCTTTTCATCCCTCGGTGTCGATGAGGCGCGGACGTCTCTCTGGGAAATGGCGTTTTCGACCTGTTTAGCTATTAAGGCGTTCGATGGGCCATCCTTCTTCGTCTCGTTCGCCGTCGCTCCGCTTTCAGTCGGTTCTCGCCTGAAAAGACTGTGCGGCCTGGGAGGTTTCACAGGAGGCGCTGGTGGCGTGGGTGGCGTGGGCGTTACAGGTGCGGTTGGCGGTGGCATGTGAGAGGGATCCGTCTTCATCTCTGTGTCCCTCGGCTGTTGAAAGCGTGGCTCGTTGAATTTCGCGGCGATCTGCAATTTCAAAACGGGCTTCGACTCGAAACTGGACGACGCGACAACGTTCGTCGACTGCTCGGCGGTTCGGTTCTTCGATGGGATCCTGATCTCCACCTTGTCCATCGAACTGAGAACGTCCAGCTTGTCCGCTCTAGCTACGATGCTCTTCAACTCCGACACCGGCTTCCCGTTGATGGAAAACTCGATTTGCTTCACCGGTATCGTAGTCTCGCTGATGGATATCTGCATCGAACTGAAGTCCGGACGCGGCTCCCCTTTTCCAATTGCGTCCCTCTTCGAGGACACCACGACCGAGAGTTGCTCCTTGTTACCATTCGTTGTTCTCGCCGCCTCCTCGTCCATGTTGATAGACACCACGGACTCGTTTTGCGAAGGTGTCATTCTCAGCTCGATTTGCGGCTCCTTTGTCGGGTTCGTCGAACCCGACGTACTCATCGGTCCTCGTCTGATGTAGTCTATTATAGAGGGCGTGCTGCCAGGTCCATCTTGCGAGGGTGGCTTCGAAGCTGGTGGACTCGAAGCTGATGGAATCGAGGCTGGTGGTTTCGTAGAATCGGGTCTCTGCGATGCCGCAACACTTTCAGTTTCGCTGTTCGATGTAGGTTCGTTGTCCTGAACGATCGTACCACGATTTGCGCTACGATTCGCGAGTTTGTTCGCAGCAGATTTGACCGACGTTTTCTCAAGCATCTCCCTTTTGTCTTTGATCCTCTTCTTATGCGCGTTCATCACCCTGTCCAGCCAATAGGCAGGCTGCGGCATCCATTTGTCGTCCGAGTCCGCCTTCGCGGTGATTCGTTTCAGATCCTTTATTGTTCCGTCCATTTTCGTTAACCAGCCATCCTGACCGTGCGCGTTTTTCTCGACCTCAGCTTGGTCATCGCCGATCTCCTCATCCGTAGTCGCAATTGGCTTTTTATTCGCGTCCTTCTCGCTCATTAGGATTATGGGAATTTCGTCGAACTCGGTGGACGCGTATCGTTTGGGCACCACGTTATCGTGCCAATCGCAATTATCAACCGAGCCAAGATCCATCGCCTTGCTGTATCTTTCTATCATCGACGCGTACGACAGAAACTTTTGAACCTCGTTGTTGTTCCCAATCATGTCATCGTCTCGGCTGAACACGTTCAGACCACTGGCTGAGCTGTTCGTATCCCCTGCTCCTTTGGGTTTGTTCTTCCACTTCAGAGAGACCAAAGACGCAGTGCTGAAAGGACTTCTGCGAATCCCATTGATCGTGGACGAATTCGGATTGTCCTTCAAGACACCTGAGCAATTCGGCCAGTACATCGCGTCGTTGTAACTGGCTATCATTTGCGCGTACGATCGAGGTTCCATTTCGATCGTTCCTCTCGATACGTCCAAGTTCTTTGTCTTTCTCGTCAAGCCTATCGATTCCTCCACGACGATTCGTCCACTGGCTCGTTCGCCATTAGGTGACTTTTTCAGCTGACCTCTCGAGTCACGGCGTTCTTCGACAGATTCTTCTGAAACGATTCTCTCCAGGGATGTATTTTTGCCACGTCGTAGCGTGGGCGTCGTTTCGTTCCTCGTTTGTCCAGCGTAACGAGAGTCCCTGAAGTCGCTGATCTCCTTGGATCGTGACAACACGCAAACGTCCGACTGGTGCCTCCCTTTGATACTCTGTTCCAGCCTCGCAGCGTCTTTGAACACGATTTCATTTTCAGTTGGAATAACGATGTATGGTTTGAATGAAAAAAAAGAAAAGAGAAATAAAGGACAAAATAGACTAAAATATCTCTATTGACTAGAAATTTAAGAAATTTAGAAATTTGAAGGGGTGATTTAACAATAAAATATTAATTATAGTTTTACAATTATATATAGTTTTAATTATAGTTATACAAAAATTTTTGATCAATTCAGTTATTAGACTGCAGATTTTTATGCAAATTTTAAAGTGCAAAATTGCGCAGAATTTATATAATATATCAAATATCGAGATTTCGATAATATCACTAGGACAGTTTTCTGTTTCTTCAAATTATATCCTCAAAAATAGAAGAATTTGCACAAAAATCGACAATCTAATTATTGCGATGTAAAAGAATTGTGTGAAATCTTACTGGATGGTACACAACGGTGAACATTGATACCAAGTACATACTTTAAACGATTCATTGTGTATACTCGTAGTAACTTAGATATTTCCCAGTTAATCAAACAGAATGCAGCAAATGAAACTCTACTCGTAATTTTGAGAATTAGTGGCAGAAGAGAGGGGCAGACGTTGGTTTAACTTTTCTCTCAGCCACGACGTATCATGTTGAAATGTCACTCGGGTTATACGCGAAATTCAATCAAACAAAGGAAGGAACATCTCGATTTTATACCTCGAGTCGCTTCAAGCCGTGAATTGATTAGTTAATTCTGTGTACTAAGATATCCTATAATTATCCAACGTTCAGGTTAATCAAACTACAAATATTCTTCGATATTTGAAACAGCAATTGCAACAGTAATATTTTTAGACATAAAATACTTTATTACTAAATTTACTATTTTTTGTTTATTTTAGTTCTATTTAAAGAAGAATGTTAAACACAAAACAATTTGACACTTTAGATATTATATAATACTTCTAAACCATACTTTTCATTTTGTAAGTAAGTCACTTTCAAATAAATTTCAGTGACGATTACTCTTTCGTAGGAACGAGAAATATTTTGATTGAAAAATATATTTACGATATTTATTCACACTGAACTTTCTCTCGACTTTAATTTTTAAGTAACGCGGCCTTTTATTCTTTGAAACAACCGCGGAGATCAAGTACGCTGGCAATTCATTTGTGTCACTACACGCCACGAAGTAAGCTTCGAAGAAACGGCACTGACGGCACACTCTCAACTAAACGAAATTTCGCACGGGTAGATCGCTGGATAAGGATCTTCAGGTTCTTCAGGTTCTTCATCTTCCGCGCGGCACAATGCGACGAATCTCGACGTTCTCTTTATCTTCGCGATCTCTCCTCTCTTTCTACTTTCGTCGATGCTGCGTTCGTCGATCCGCGATACGAATCGGGAAGATCGGTTTAAGGAGCAGTATGTTGACTCTGTATCGATTTTGAAGTCGTTTCCGTTTTAACGTCATTTCCCACGAAAATAGGAAATTGAGAGAATTTAATAATTCGATAGAATTAAATAATTCAATGTTTATTCAATTGTTTGGTACGTATGTCGAGGAACACTCTTAATACAAAGAATTGAACATTTTAACAAACAGTCAAAAATATTGAGCTTCTATGTTAAGTTATATACATGTGGATATTAAATTATTAAGTGTATGATGATCATACAAGATATGAAATAAAATACATGAAATATTTTTGACATTAAAAATCTATCAAATAATAAATTTGATACGAGTGAATGATAAATTTGAATAATAAGTTTCCAAATTATTTGAAAATATTATATTGCAAGTTTTTTTGACTTTTGACGAAGTAAAAGGATAGATCGTGAACGTATTTTGAGACTGTTTGAAAGTTCACGCAACTGATTCTCATGTCAACTGATTCTCATGTGAACGCAAATTTGTCATAAATTGTCATCGGTGAAACACTCCATACTTTGTCGTAACAAATTCTGTAACAAACTCGTAACAAACGTAATATTAACTCGTAATATTAACATAAAATGTCCAAAGTACAAAACTTAACAAAAGATTCGTAGAAACATTTACGAAATCGAACCAATTCTAGATCTAGGTTCGTCGTTTTCTTTTTTTAATCACGTTCGTAAAAATACAGATTCAATTGAAAATTGAATACAAATTCAATTAAAAATTCAAAACGTCGCTCAAACGTGAACTGAACCGCCACGCGATCAATTTCCTCGTTCATTGTTCGAGATTAAAAACCGACGCTTAATAACCGACGACAACGAAATCACGCGCTCGTTAAAATTGCAGTGCAATCGTACGCGCGAACGTGTAATAATTAGCATGTCTTGATAAAAACATCCCTCGCGAGAGGAGGAAAGCGGTTTGTATACCTCACGTGCGACGAAATAACAATAATTACTATCATTACGTTACTTTATCGTGTGCCAGGCAATCATTTTCGGCTATGTTCGTCCTGCGCTGCAGGTGGCCAGGACGTTCACTCATTTGACTAATTACCGGTACTCGATCTACTGTTCCCTCGTGATTCACCACGGATCATTTCCAGTTACTAATCTTCGCTCTTCTTTTACAACTTGCCACAACGTGTGGAACGTTCTTCTCACACTGTTAATTAATTATCGCTGAAAACGAAACACTCAATTAGTACTCTTCTTTTCTTCAACATGATAATTGATATTTATATTGTTCGTATTACCTTGTATTTTATTTGTTAAACTTACCTTGTGTTTTATTTCGTTCGACAATACATGCCTCTCATTGAAAATCTCGTCGACGATGAAATGAAATTTCTCTGAGAGAAACTTCAAACGATTGTATATTTATCATGACAGTCAATTATACGTCATTAAATGTGATAAGAATATAGTAACAGTATTTGTATTCTACGTATCAAATTTATTTATCTATCTGTTTCGCAACTTTCTCCTTACACCACAATCCCCTTTGATTAATTATAGATAATTATTGTTTTCGTAATTGAACGTCCGCTCGCGAGCCATTCGTAATCGCAATTTAAAAGGGGATTCATCACAGCTCCCGAAACGTCATTTGTAAATTACCAACCTCGCGTGGCACACGTGGGACACGAGAGGTCGGTTTCGCGAGCGATTCTCAGAAATTCGAAAGTCTTCCAGCGAGATTGACCGGTTCCCGGTGAGATTCGCGGTGGCAGATACGTGCAACACGAAAGGCCACGGCGTCGTTTCGCCCGTGAACGAGCCAAGTCACGATCTGGAGCTCTTGCACCGAGGTGCAGAGGTCGAGCCCGCCGAGAGGAGCCAATTCACTTCGTGCCTTGAAATTCCATCGTGGCGGTGCACGAATCGAGAAAAAGAGAGAGAGAGAGAAAAAGACAGGCTGATCGTGAACGACGATCCACAGAGAAGATTTTCAGCCGTTTCTTTCTCTTCTCTTTCTTCGCTTTCCCCCGGCTACCTCGAACCGATCCACAGAAAACCCGTCACGAAGTCACGAAGAACGTTATTAGCGAAGCCACGAGAGAGCGAATCGCAACGTCTCGCAAATAAAAAGCTCGCGAACTTCGTTTGCTCTTTGCCGTTTGCGTTCCGCCTTTTCCAGATAGACGCCGATGCCTACGGCCAGACAATTACACGCGGCAATTTGCGTAACACGCGAATATTTAAGAACGATAAGATCGAGCCGCGGTTGGTTCTGCATCGGCAGTGGAAACTGGTCTCGGGCCTCGTTGAATATTGAGAAACGCGAATTTGCTGCGTTTCTTTGTTATAGAAACATAATTTAGATCCGAAAGTTTAATTTCGACGGGTAATTGAAATTAGAACACGATACATTTAAATTAGAGAACTTCAACAACGTTCGTGTTTAGGGGGCAGGTTTAAATGTTAAACAAGAATTTACAAAAATGTGATGTGTGTTTAAAGTGCAACATTTAAGAGCTTTACAAATCATATTCTTTCACATTCTTCAAAACATTTTCTTGAGATGTTCAAATTTTCATGTACAACAGAAAAGATTAGTAGGATTTTATATTTATAGTTTTCAGTTTATATTTCAACCGCTTGCGCTGGCAATTGATTGCGGACCATAACGAGTGACCAAACCTTATACAATAATTCGTCGCTTTTTTTTTTTTTTTGAACTCGTCGGTATATCACTGGATAGAAATTATTAAGAAGTAATGAACCTATCATTTGTTTTGCCTAGATTATATTTAAATATACTTAAAACTGAGAAAATATTACAATTTTTTGGAACAAAAAATTCTCGTCATTTCAGCGCAAGAGGTTAATGCATGCAATTATATATTTTACACACAGAGTGTACAAACTATCCAGATTCGAAAATACTATGTAATACTGTGTCAAATACATGCTGACAATTTCTATTCTTCGTAGTTATTATAAAGCTAATGTTCGCGTGTATTACGAACACGAATTCCTAATTTCTTAATAGACGTTCCACGCGCCACGCGTGCACACGTGTATTTTAGTACACGTTCAAAAACGTGATCTCTAGTTTTTATCCAAAGAGTTCTTGGGTGCTGAAGGAACAATCGTCGGCGCGAGAGAGAAAGAGAGAGAGAGAGAGAGAAAGAGTGGCGGCAAGCCGAGACGCGACACGCGGCGGAGGACCCCACTCAGGTGTGCGACGAAATGAATTGTGCTGGTCGAAGGGAGTCGAATCGATCGTCAATCAAGCTCTGCAGGCTCAGCGATAATTGACCGAGAAAGAGGGACGCACGAATCGGCCAGAAGAAACGGTCGGAAAAAATTAAGGAGACGCGAGTAACAGACGGGCGACGAAGATGATGAAGAAGAATAAAAGAGTCGCGGGGCCGAGGGAAAAAGGGGAAGAAAAAAGACAAACTAGAGAGAGAGAGAGAGAGAGAGAGAGATACTGCCGAGCGGGGAGGCTGCGTCGTGCAACGCCGAAAAAGAGAAAGAACGAACGCTGTGTAACGGTAAAGACGGACGTGAGCGCGATCCCGATGACTTTGGGACCAACGAGACGATGCGTCTCGGTATTTCGAGGATGCCCAATCCGAGATACCTTGCGAGGGTACCAGTCCCTGTAGCTCGGGCAGAACCTCGTCGCGCGCGGACCATCCCTCTTACCTCTTCTCCTTTTCTCTTTCTCTTCTCTACGCTTCTCTTCGCGAACGTTGGTGCTCTGTTCGCTGGCGAACGAGCTTTGATTTAGAACACACAGGGCACACACAGTTGCCGCCGTGTCGGCCTACGTTTTGCCCCGGCAAAAACGCTCTCTGCTTAACCAACTGAGAGAAGGAACCGCCGTCGTGGTCCCAGCTCGCTGGTTCACTTTCCCACTGGGCCGTATATGGCTGAACATTTTATCTTCTACGGGCCCTCGTAGCGAAGGATTGCATGATCAGACGCCGTAAAGGCGACCCAGCCATCTTCTTCCCTCCCTTCTATCGCGATCCATCGCCCTGCTGCTCGCCCTGGCCACTTTGCTTTTCGATGCAAATCCCCGCGCCGAGCAATTGCGCGCGTTATGCAATTCATGCTGAATCGAGATAGCCACCGATTTATGCCGCCCT